CCCACGGCACACCTTACACTATGTCACGGCACACTAGTGTGCCGCGGCACAGTGGTTGAAAAACACTGGATTAGAATGTATTTTAGGGTAAACATTCATAGAATTGTATTTTTAGTTTCTGCTCTTCCTGAGTTTCTTACATTCAGGAAAACATAGAGAAAGCCAGACAAAAGTTGATTGCTGTGAAGTAATAAATAAAATATTTTTAAAATCTAACATCGAATTGTATAGATTACTGGCAATGTGTGCTGGTTTGAACAATGTATTAAAATGTTGCTATACGCATGATGTATATTATTCAGATCATTGTGCTTAGGGAGTAGCAGAGAAAAATGGAACTGATGGAAGCAGAGAGCTCAATGTGGCTCTTATTTCCATGGCACTCTTTTAAACAAGAGCTTTGGGATCTCCTTTTCTTGTTATTAATGAAACAGTAATATCCCAGTGGAAAAATAGGCAAAAGAGATTTCAGCAGACCTGTTGCTGTATTCCCTACTTGTAAAAAGCAAGCCTATTTTTTGTAGGATATATGGGGCTATGTTAGTCTCTGTTTCATTAAAAAAATGATCTTTTCCCTACAGCATTCAAGATATTACCATCCTCTTCAATATCATCATCATCTTTCTCATGTTCTTCAACACTTTTGTTTTTCAAGCCGGCCTGGTCAATCTTCTCTTTCACAAATTTAAAGGAACTATTATCCTGTCAGCAGCATATCTTGCTTTGAGTATATCTTTTCATATATGGGTCATGGTAAGAAATGATTATATTTGGCTTTTAAAGAAGTTTACTTATGTGGAATATTGGAATTAGATAAAATTTATATTGCAATCCATTGTGTGTGAGTAGTTTATTTTCCCTTCATTTAATTCAATACACATCTGTTCAGTATGCATCTGTTCAATACACATTGATGGGTTGCTGTGTTTTCTTTGCATTAAACTTATGATAATAATTTTATTGGAGGAATGCTGGCAAGAATGAAGGTGGGTAGAAGAATGTGATTTTTCCATGTGAGCCTGTTAAAGGTAATATATTTTTTTCCATTTGTGACTAACTTAGTAATTAAGAGGGGGAATGAATTGGATAC